GGGATCATATGGTTCGAATGGTAGCACGGTTAGTGAAAAACCACATTCATTCGTCCTACCATTGTTTTCTACTAGAAAAGCTGATCAACATTACCTACACGGTCCCCAAACTTCGAATTCCCTTAACGACACAAGAAGATACCTAGCTTGGAAAGTGTTGCAAGTAAGCAGACTTTCAACGATTCTTCTTCTTTTTTACGTAGTTGTCTGTTTTGTAGAAAATTCTTGTTATTTTCCAATCGATTTGATGACCAGAATCTCTCATATGAAAAAAAATTAAATTGCTTGTGTTTCTATATTCAATGTTTTGTTTATGTTCAGAAGCTATTGTGTCAACACTTTTTCCGGTTTCAACAACCTATACTTGTTTTTGCAGGATTGGTATGGCATAATATTGTTACGTCTCCGTTCGTTAATTGATTTTCCGTAAATTCGTTCTGACGAAACTTTAGCGACACAAGTCCTTCTTAAATAAAACTGGTTTATTCTTTCCGAATACAACTCTACGATACACTTAATTTCAACAGTCGCTCTATAACAAACACTATAACAACGAACGTCTCACGTGCACAATTTTAACAATACTCAGTTCAATTACACACTCTCTGACTGCAGTTCAATTACTCATTACACTGTTGTCCCGTCACGTTGTGAACGTCTTATATATACAAGACTAACATATGTCTAGTAATCTCCCGACAATTCACGAAGGGACGTGAATATTCGAGAAGGACGTGGCGTGATACTAGTCACGTGACCTCGCTGACGTCGCTGACGCAACAATATTGTTACGACAGCAGAAGTCACGTGACGCTGGAATCATGCGTGCTGGAGATTCTAGAAGGACCATGTCTGTTCGTGGCAACTCTAGTCTTCTCTACGTGCCCTCTATTCTTGTATATAAGTGCGCAAGACAATGAATCGGGACTGGAATTGCAGACAGAGAGATATAGAGACAGATAATCGAGTCAAGCCGTAAGTAAAGTGCGTGAATCGTTGTAAATTTTAGCGTGTGTTTTTTAGTTAAAGTGACTGTGGAAATTAAGTGTATTGCAAAGTTGTATTGAGAAAGGATAAACTAGTTTTATTTAAGAAAGGACTTGTATCGCTGACGTTTTTCGGAAAGAATTTCTACGGAAAATTAACCAACAAACGAACACAGAGCTGTAACAAATTGGTGTCAGACTGGGATGGAAAAGAAAAAAAATGGAAACGAGAAGTGGCAAATCAAACTACGACTTAGCAAATTTGATTGCAGCAATACAAGAACAGCAAAAGAAACAAGAAGAACGAGAAAATAAACAAGAAAAGAGATTACAGCAGTGGTTGGAGGAGAAAAGAAAAGAAACAAGAAGAAAGAGAAAATAAAAAAGAAGAGAAGATTACAGCAGTGGTTGGAGGAAAAAGAAAAGAAACAAGAAGAGAGATTACAGCAGTTGTTGGAGGAAAAAGAAAAGAAACAAGAAGAGAGACTACAGCAGTGGTAAGAAAACCAACACCAGTGGCAACTGGAACAAGAAGTACAAATGAAATAATTAGTAAATTTCAAAGTGAATTAAATACATTAAAGGATGATTTACTATCTTTTACATAGGGAGAATATATTAGCCATGGACCTACTCAGACCCAAACAACAGGAAGCCACTTCCAGATCCTGCAGCTAAAGCCTAATGTATTGCTGAAGTTCCTCAGAAGGAATTTATACCAAAAATTAACAAACAAGCAGACACCTAACAATAACAACTATATAAAGTGGGACTCAGCCCACTCAACTCAACAAAAAATTGGCACATTATCATGCAGTTACAACACAGCATTTAACATATGTAATAGCAGTAATTTGCATCATGAACTAGAATCAATATCTGACACATTTATTAACAAATTGTCATAAGAACAAACTCAATAACAGAAAAAAAGGGAAAAAAACATAAACTCCATGAAGGAAACAAAATGAACAAACTCAGATGCACTAGTAAGTGTCTTACCATATCATAGCTATGTAACCAAGAACATCATAAACATTTGAATACAAGCATAAAAAACTATAAAATAAACAGCAAAGTTACTTTTATTCAAAAACCAAGCACTAAACTCAAAGTTCATCTAAAGAAGGTTTATTCTGACAACTTCAATGTCATAAGTGTCTACAAGTATCAATGCGATAGCACTTACATAGATGAAACATGAGCATTAGGATCAAAGAACATAACAATCCCCCATCACACATTTACGAACACAGCACAACAAATCAACATCCAATTAATATTAACAACTTCAAAATATTATGCAATGAGAAGAACATTAATAGAAGAAAAATAAAAGCATTAATTATTTGTGAACTTAAACTAAATCAAAACACAGATGTCACACTATACGTTTCCTAAATTGGAACAAAATTCTCATTCAGTATTTCACAAAATAGAGACAGTTAATGATGGCCACACAAGTGTTCAAAACATCATAAAATAGTTTAATAAAAAATAAACAGTCCACTCAAAAGCTTTGGACTTTTATTAATTAAGCTTGTCAAAACTCTATAGGAACCATTAATAAAAGACAAATGGTAAATCAAAACACTGCTTACTTATATAAAAAAAAGAATGTTTAGTACCAAGAGAAAAATGATTTTGTCATTAGTAAATAGATAGATCAATGAGGAGAAAGACTTTATTTAGTAGGGAAACTGTTTCGTAGGTCCAACCACCTTTTCATATAATTTTGCTGTTTAATACTTTAGTAGCTAAAAGCATACCTCTGAGTGCAGGTGGTTTCTTCCCATTTGGTTGTCTGCCCACTCAGATACATTTCTAAACCAGCCTGTGCAATCATGGCTCCATTATCAATACAAAACCTGACAAAAACACAGTGGTTATAAAGTTTGCTCACTAAACAAATGATAATTTTATACAAAATTATAAAAAGATAAGCTTTTATTCCAGTCTCTAAGAAAGTACTTACTATTTTAACTGATCAAGAGAATATCAGACAGACAAACAGCTTTACACAAAGAAAGAGAAATTGATTTTGTCTTTTTGTGTTTATTATTTTAACATGGAACATTTTATGATCATTCATGTACATAAAATTCAAATTCTGTGGAAACTTCTTGTTTTTTTATGGTAGAGAATCTTACATTAATTTGTTAATAAAGTATGAAATATATTACTTGTGCAAACTTTAAATCCTTTTTTCATTTTACAAATTTTTTAAAAAGTTGTCAGGTAACCATAACCTACAAGGAATTAAACACAAGTTCCCTCTTTGAATACAAGATGCATTATCATGTGACTTTACTTTCTACTAAAAGCACTACAACATAGAATTAATAAAACACTACAGAATTTTTTAAAACAACAGTTATGTTAATCTTCAGCTTCTCTTACAAGTCATATTGTTACCATCCATTAGCAAAGAATAAAATAACTGTTTAACAGAAAACAACAGGAAGATAAAACACATATTTACTTTATGTTTGTTTGTGAAAACAAATATTTTATAGTTTTCAATATGGTTAAATATTTTTTTCTCACACACACACGCGACTCCCCATGTGAGACAGAGGTCGATTAATTATTTCTATTAATGCGAGAAGTTTAAATCAATGAGTTAAGTTTCTAATTGCATTATTAGGATAGGTTAAATTACTAATACTCATGTCTCACAAGGGTAAGTTACTAATACTTGTGTGACTAAAATAAGTTACTAATGCTCATGTGTGACTAAAGTAAGTTACTAATACTCGTGTGACTAAAGTAAGTTACTAATACTCATGTGTGACTAATGTAAGTTACTGATATTCATGTGTGACTAAAGTAAGTTACTAATACTCGTGTGTGACTAATGTAAGTTACTAATACTCGTGTGTGACAAAGGTAAGTTACTAATACTCGTGTGTGACAAAGGTAGGCTGCTTGTTCTGATGTATAACTAAAGTAAGTTACTGGTAATTATGTCTGACAAGGGTATCAAAGTTACTAATGATAAGTTAATAACTTTGGAAACTTACCGCTCATCAGTTGCAAAAAGGGTTGCTCCACGTTCTTTTGCCATCTTCTCCATCATATCCTGTAGCCGTACGTTGCCTATAAAATAAAATATCGCAAGTTAAGTTTAGAATATACCATGTCTTCTAGCTATTTCACCGAATTTGTAGTGTACTCTGTCTACTAACTATACCACGTAAATTACAAATACTCTATCTTTTAAGAATTTTACACGATTACCAAATTACCATATTTTTAAATCCATCACCTTTATAAAGTGTGCAGTGTTTTGACCACTTCACCTGACTTAGAAAGTAAACTGTCTTTTAAATATTTCACCTGAATTAAAAGTGATAAAAACTATAAAACAAAAGGAGGATATACTGATCTCAAAGAATACCACAATAAATTAGCAGAAAGAGGAAATACTGGTCTCATAGAATACAACAATAAATTAGCAGAAGGAGGAAATACCAAGCTTAATGAATTGAACATCAGACTAGCAAACAGGATATAATGATAAAAAATAAAACAATAGATTAGCAGGAGGAGGATATGCTGATCTAAAAAATATAACATCAGTTTAGCAGGAGGATGATATATTGATCTAAAAGAATAAAACACAAGATTAGCAGAAGGAAGATATACCGAACTAAAAGAATACAACAAGACTAGCACGAGACTTTAGCAAAGAGAGAAAAAGGTTAGTAAACTTCTGATAATGACATCTTGTTAAAAGATTCTTAATATCACATTTTTACACTCCCAAAAGAGATGTTTATTCCTTATAATGACAATATAGTCTTAAAAATGCAACATCAAACTTCAGCATACACAGTAAACATCCAATAATGACAGCCTGATATAAAAACTATAAATCTACAACAATTCATAAAGTAACAGCCACATTTCATCTACAATTCATAGAATAGCAGCCATGTGTTTCACATCCAAAGATTCACAGTGCAACAGACAGGTGTTTCACCAACACGGATCCACAGAACAATAGTCATGTGTTTCATCTACACAGATCCACAGAACAATAGTCATGTAATTCATCTACGTAGATCCACAGAACAACAGTCATGTAATTCATCTACGTAGATCCACAGAACAACAGTCATGTGTTTCATCTACACAGATCCACAGAACAATAGTCATGTGTTTCATCTACACAGATCCACAGAACAACAGTCATGTGTTTCATCTACACAAATCCACAGAACAACAGTCATGTGTTTCAACTACACAAATCCACAGAACAACAGCCATGTGTTTCATCTACATAAAGCAATAGTCATGTAATTCATCTACATAGATCCACAGAACAACAGTCACGTGTTTCATCTACACGGATCCACAGAACAATAGTCATGTAATTCATCTACATAGATCCACAGAACAACAGTCACGTGTTTCATCTACACGGATCCACAGAACAACAGTCATGTGTTTCATCTACACAGATCCACAGAACAACAGTCATGTGTTTCATCTACACCGATCCACAGAACAATAGCCACGTGTTTCATCTACACAGATCCACAGAACAACAGTCCATGTGTTTCATCTACATAAAGCAATAGTCATGTGTTTCATCTACATAAAGCAATAGTCATGTATTTCATCTACATAGAGCAACAGTCATGTGTTTCATCTACATAAAGCAATAGTTGTGTTTCATCTACACAGATCCACAGAGCAATCAATAGTCATGTGTTTGATCTACACATCTCCACAGAGCAATCAATAGTCATGTGTTTCATCTACACAGCTCCACAGAGCAATAGTCATGTGTATGATCTACATAGATCCACAGAGCAACAGTCATGTGTTTCATCTACACAGACCCACAGAGCAATCAATAGTCATGTGTTTGATCTACACATCTCCACAGAGCAATCAATAGCCATGTGTTTCATCTACACAGCTCCACAGAGCAATAGTCATGTGTTTGATTTATACAGATCCACAGAGCAACAGTCATGTGTTTCATCTACACAGACCCACAGAGCAATCAATAGTCATGTGTTTGATCTACACATCTCCACAGAGCAATCAATAGTCATGTGTTTCATCTACACAGCTCCACAGAGCAACAGTCATGTGTTTCATCTACACAGATCCACAGAGTAATAGTCATGTGTCTGCTCTACACAGAACCACAGAGCAACAGTCATGTGTTTCATCTACACAGACCCACAGAGTAATAGTCATGTGTCTGCTCTACACAGAACCACAGAGCAACAGTCATGTGTTTCATCTACACAGACCCACAGAGTAATAGTCATGTTTTATTTACACAGATCCAGAGCAATAGTCATGTATTTCATCTACACAGATCCACAAAACAACAACAGTCATGTGTTTCATCTACACAGATCCACAGAGCAAGTCATGTGTTTCCTTCCAAAACTTCATACTGCAACAACCACTAGCCATACCTCCAATTATTATGCCAGAAACTTCAGTGCTTCCAGTATGAAACGGCTACATGTGGCTCTATAGAATCAATCAAACAGTATTTTTCTACATCTGACATCCATTTATTACATATGATATCCACTTTATAAATCCTATATCTTCTTGTTAAACTTGACATTTATTTCATACATCTTGCATTCACTTGTTACATGACATCCACTTAATAAATCTGATATCCATTTATCACATCTGATACCTTTCTAAATATTAATTCAGAATGAGTCATATTAACTACTGTTAATAATTCATTCAGAAATCAACCATCTCTAATAATGTATTATATTGAAAAATATATATCTAATTACTTACAGCCAACACCACCTACAATCAGTACTTCTTTTGAGCCACAATGAGCCATAGCTCGCTCTGAAAAAGAAAAAAAAATATTATACACAACTTCTATCAGTGATATCACACAACTTCTATCAGTAATATCACACACAACTATTATCAGTGATATCACACAACTATTATCAGTAATATTACACACATCTTCTATCAGTTATATTACATACAACTTCTATCAGTTATATTACACACAACTTCTATCAGTTATATTACACACAACTATTGTCAGTTATATTACACACAACTTCTATCAGTGATATTACACACAACTTCAATCAGTTATATTACACACAACTTCAATCAGTTATATTACACACATCTTCTATCAATAATATTACGTACAACTTCTATCAGTTATATTATGCACAACTATTATCAGTAATATTACACACATCTTCTATCAGTAATATTACACACATCTTCTATCAGTTATATTACACACAACTTCTATCAGTTATATTACACACAACTATTGTCAGTTATATTACACACAACTTCTATCAGTTATATTACACACAACTTCTATAAGTTATATTACACACAACTTCTATCAGTTATATTACACACAACTATTGTCAGTTATATTACACACAACTTCTATTAGTGATATCACACAACTATTATCAGTAATATTACACACCTTCTATCAGTAATATTACACACATCTTCTATAAGTAATATTACACACAACTTCTATCAGTGATATTACACACAACTTCTATAAGTTATATTACACACAACTTCTATCAGTTATATTACACACAACTATTGTCAGTTATATTACACACAACTTCTATTAGTGATATTACACACAACTATTGTCAGTTATATTACACACAACTTCTATTAGTGATATTACACACAACTTCTATCAGTTATATTACACACAACTTCTATCAGTTATATTACACACAACTATTGTCAGTAATATTACACACAACTTCTATCAGTTATATTACACACAACTTCTATCAGTGATATCACACAACTATTATCAGTAATATTACACACATCTTCTATCAGTGATATTACACACAACTATTGTCAGTTATATTACACACAACTTGTATCAGTTATATTACCCACAAGTATTGTCAGTTATATTACACACAACTTTCATCAGTTATATTACCCACAACTATTGTCAGTTATATTACACACAACTTCTATTAGTGATATTACACACTACTTCTATCAGTGATATTATGTTTTATATATATCTTTATATATTACACATTTTAGTAAGAAAGACTATAATAAAGCACAATATCTAGATTTAGATATCACCATTATTAATTAAACAACAGAATTTAAAATTTTCAATATGATGGACATTTTCAATTTTGAAGTTATAGACTTTCCATTCCCAAATATAAATATTCCAAGTAAGTTGTGTTTCAGTGTTTACACTCTCAGCTTATTAGATACAAGTTGTTCATCATTACAAGATCTTTTGGATACAGTTCACAAACACTTTCTCATTTCTCATAATTTAGGTTTCTCATTCTGCATCTTAAACACAAAATTCATCCAATTCTATGCAAAATTAAACCATATTTTTGATACAGATTATGGAATTAGAAATTTTACAAAGTATCACATCTTTCCCATCTGCACATTAATTCCTTGGGATATTGTTTAGAGTAATAGTGAACAGCTTTAGTATAGGGAACACCACTGATTTTACCTCCCATTAGCTTAAATTATTGTCAGATTTTTTTGTATGGGCCAGATTCTTTGCGGTAGATGTGTGTGACTTGTTGGGGATAAATTTCAACAATAAACAAACAGCACACAATCCACTTGTTTTAAAATAATATATTAAAACAAGTCAAATGTATATACAAATGTTTGTTACACTGGTGGTTATCACAGTTGAATCCAGAGCTTTAAATAATTGTTTCTTTTTCATCAAAGTCCACACAGGCTGGTTCAATTACTTTAGAACACAATTGACAAGACAAATTATTCTTCTCTCCTCTGTTATTCACACAGTCTAGATCTATCCATATTGAACTACATTTTGGACACATACTTATATCCTGATATAGGTCTAAAACATTTCACACACTTCTACATATTCTGATGCAATAATACTCAATTAAAACAACGAGAAAACTCAGATGGTTCTAGCTACATGATGCAATAATATAACAATCCCCAATTCATAACTAGTAAACTACACAACGTATGATTTGTAAACAGTTAACAAAACAAACTTGCGATAACCTATTGCTTCTAAAAATAACTAGATTTAACACTCATGCTATATAACTATCTAAATCATAACTCTTGCATTAAACTTAAAAGGGAACAGTCATGTATATCTAACAATTATATATATAGTTAATATCAGCTATAAAACATGTATCGTATGAAATTACTGGTTTCATTTAGTTACATTATTTTTGATGATTACTTTCTTTGCCATACTACCAGTTGTTTCCTTACTATATATTATTATTTTTATTGAAGTTTCTATTTTATAGAGACTTATCACATTTTTCTTTTTGGCTTTTACAGAAGATTCAACATCATTTATTATTTGACGTAACCAGTTAACTATGTATTTGTTTTCGGGGGCACTTACAGTGGTAAAATTTGTTAGACACAACACTATTATGTTTAGAATGTTTCCTTTGTATTACATTTAACACTGTTACATTTGTGTGGACAGTCCAGTTATTATTTTAGTTCTTTATTATTTTTTTTGTATTTTTGTTTTTAGATGTACTACTTGGGAAAATTACTGCTAAAAATTAGAGATATTTTAAACAGTAACAGGTTGAATACAGACATCCTTTACCTATGATGCTTTATAGTAGGGTTGGGTTAATGAGCTTCCTTTGGTAAAAAGATGTGATAGAGAAAAACAAAGAGTCGTTTAAAATCGTAAGTGATTTATTTAAAAAGTAGGGCGAAATCCTTTACTTCCTAAAATAGAATCCTTAAAACATTCATATAACTTGCTTTTGGTTTGGTTGTAGTTAAGCGCAAGGCTGTCTGTGCTCTTATTTTTAGCGTCTTAAGTCTACAAACTTACCACTGATTCACTGGGAGCACATTTTACTAAGTTCACACTTGTAAAACAATTTTTTTCTACGACAGTAGTTCAGATGTTTCTGTATTCACTAGATAAGTTACATTGTACTTTTTAGCTATTGCTACTTTCATTAAACATATTGCTTATACTATTTAGTATATCAAATGTCATTACTTTTTATTTTGGTTTATTATTTATTATTATAATTTTATTATAAATACTGTTTTGGATTAATAGCTTAATATGTGTATTTAGGGCTAACCTAAATCTCCTGTGCTGGCCACACCTCACAAAATATTGAGATTAGAGCTCAAAATATCATTAACAGCAAGGGTATCCAATTGGTGAAACAAAGCATGCTAATCTTTCTAAGTATAAATGTAAGAAATACATATTCAACTACTGATTGCCAGGATGATTTGTAGTTTCACTCTTGCTGTGATCGGACCAACCTTTTAACCATCACGTTATGAAACTATAACTTTTAATGCAATATATGTATCTTCATAAAATTTGGTAAGCTTTCAGTAAAGATTACAAGTACACAAAAATCAGTTTTTTTAACTAAGTATTTTCACTAAAAAATATGAATTTATGGGGGTCAGAGCCTGACTCAGACTGTGCCTAGTCTGAGAAAAACATGATTTTCATATTAAGGTTAAAATACTTTTGTTTTGTTTTAATGTTTTTAAATTTAATTTGCATAACCTCTAGAATCTTTTAAATGAACATCAAAAAGTAGTTTTGAGAAAGACTTGTATTTTGTCTGTTATTTTCTCTACCATATACAGGCTCAGTCTAACCATTAACCACCACAAAAAATGCTAAATAAATCTAACTTATTTCTTTACAGAATGACTGCATATTGTTACAGACAACTTCTCACAATTTATTATTGCAGCCAATGCCAATACAATTCAGATCATTTAGATTTATTGCTTTACTGCCACTTAGATTAGCATCAAAGCATATTATTACAGCAGGGAAGTTTCATATAAACACAGCAGAAAGCTTGGTCAAGTTACAGCATGTTACTTGAACAAAGCATGGTCGTGCTATTCAGTACTTTTTTATTTAATCTTTTTTTACCTTCACAATAAGTTTCCAATTTTTACACTTTCGTTGCTTTTAAAACAATAAATAAAAAACAAAAAATTTAGTATTTATGTGTTAGTTTTATAGTTTTTTGTTCTTGAAGTCTTAATGAAACTGATGCATAATAACTCCAAACCAATCATGAAAATGAGCTAATCTCATTAAAGTAAGAAGAATGTTTTTCTTTATTCTAATGTACGAATATTTAAGTCCTTGGAAAATTAAAAACCAACAGAAGGGTAGAAAGAAATTCTCAAAGTTAACATTTTCCTAAACTGTAAATGTATTTCCAATCATACCTACCTCCACTCATACTTACAGCTATTACTCAACCACCAGGGTTTCATCTTTACCCATCTGAGCATTAGTCTGATTTTTCTCACATTCTCCAGCCTTTTATACCCCACTAAATTACCCATGGCAATATACATCTTGTGATACTCTCCATCTATGTCAATGTGGCCTCTATCCTGGTACCTCATTCAGATAATTCTATCACTTTTTCTCTAACAACGGCTCTTAATGGGGAGGAAGGACGGGAGAGTGTGAGATGAAGTAAGTATTATTGGAAATACATATTCAATTTAGGAAAATGTTAACTTACAAAACATACTTATCTCTTCTCCCACTTATAGCTAGAATCCCAAACTGAGTGATGGCATTATCGATACAGAAAGCATCTACATAGATCATGGGTGTACCAAGACAAGAGTGGTACCCGAGTGGAGGAACCACATTACATCCAGAACAGGTATGCTCTTCACCCTGAACTTAGTTCCTGTATCAAGGGTGGAATTGTACATGAGTAACAATATCTATAGGCCAGCCCCAACCAGATAGCTGAGGTTCCACTATTCAGTGTTGGAATTAAGGGGTCTTA